TGTTGCCATCTTTCCTGGAAGACCCTTGAAATCCTTCTGTTATCCTATGATCAGAATTGTTTCTTTTTTTCTAGCTAGCACTTTGCACTACCCAAACTGTAAAAATACACATTTTGCATTTGCAGCTAGCACCGTGGGTGCATATGGGCTGGTCATGTAATGGGCTGTTTGCATCCTCTGTTATTTCCCAGGGATTTGTCTGTCACTTGACCAGTCTGCAGCTATTCCTTGTCAGGTGACTGACGGCTTTGGTCATGTAGCAGAAGCACTTTTGGTCATATAGTTGAGAAGGAATTTTTTTCTTGTAGATGTCTTCTCTTACCTTCATAGTCGTGTAAGTGGCTTGATCTGACCAAAAGTGGTTTTTTTTCACCTCTGCTCTTATCTCCACATACTTTTTCTGAGTGAACTGCCCATCTTCCCAATTGGTGCACTCAGCAAATACTACTTGCAGTGGAATCCTCTGCTAAACACACTAAAATGTAGAGCAGTTACGGTTCCGATTTCGAAAAAACTGTAATGTCCATCTACGTCTTTTTTTTCCAAATGTATGCATTTCATGCTTTAGACTTCATATCAAAGCAAAATTTAAACATGCTCTATATCATGTTTTTGTAAATCATGCTTTTCAAAATGGTGGTAGTTTTGGTTTTTTTTTTTGCCCCCCTGTAACTATCTAGAATGTGTACAAATCCTAGCTTAGCTTATTACTATTCCTGTCTCTTATATACTTTGAGCATGCAACAGTTCATTTTTCTGCATTAAAAAGTAATATCCTGGAGACCATCTAGCAATGTCAGAAAACAGAATATCCCAAACCTCAGCTTTAGTTAGATAATAATGCTTTTAGTTAATATATCAGCAAGGTAAACAGTCCCACAGTAGAGTTGATCTAACTCTGGAAGTCAATATACTGTTAAGACAATTCATTAACAGCCATTTATATTGATAAGAAAGGAGTTGTCTTTAATTAGGCAATATGCTTTCAAAAAGGTAAGATGTCCTTACCAATTGGAAGTTAATAGTCATGAGTTTTAAAATAGGTAGGCTTTGCTGCTGTTTTACTGGGAAATTCGGGGCTTGTATCAGACGTGTTCTAGCAAAAAGAAAAAAAAATTCTAAAAGAAAACTTTATGTCGTGGTTTAACCCCAGCCAGCAACTAAGCTCCACACAGCCACTCGCTCACTGCCCCCTGGGCGGGAAGGGGGAGAGAATTGGAAGGGTGAAAGTGAGAAAACTCGTGGGTTGAGATAAAGACAGTTTAATAGGTAAAGCAAAAGCCGCACACGCAAGCAAAGCAAAACAAGGAATTCATTCACTGCTTCCCATCGGCAGGCAGGTGTTCAGCCATCTCCAGGAAAGCAGGGCTCCATGACACATAATGGTGACTTGGGAAGACAAACGCCATCACTCTGAACGTTCCCCCTTTCCTCCTTCTTCCCCCAGCTTTATATGCTGAGCATGATGTCATATGGTGTGGAACATCCCTTTGGTCAGTTGGGGTCAGCTGTCCTGGCTGTGCTCCCTCCCAGCTTCTTCTGTGCCTGGCCGAGCATGGGAAGCTGAAAAGTCCTTGATTGGGGCAAGCACTAATTGGCAACAACTAGAACATCAGTGTGTATCAACATTATTCTCATACTAAATCCAAACCACAGCACTATACCAACTACTAGGAAGAAAATTAACTCTATCCCAGCCGAAACCAGGACACTTTACATAATAAAGGAATTGGATGCCAGTAGTTTCCAAGTTAGTATTATAATTCTTAAAGGTTATGTGCTTGGCTTATGGCATAAAACCCAAAAGCAAGATTAGGCACATCACAAAGAGTGGCTGGGGAGATTAGACAGGTGATGCACAACACCCGCGCAAGGAGCAGCGAGGCTGACCCACAGGGTAACCTGTCATTTGTGTGTTTTAACTCTCAACCTTCTCTGGAGCTAAGATGAAAGCTTGGCTGTCTGTGTTTTCCGCATTCACGTAGAATTATATTTAGAAAATAATGTTAATGAAAATTTGTTTTGAAAACCCTTTTTTTGTTTGTTTGTTTTCCTGTGATTGTGCCCACTTTATGCTGCTGTGCTAGCACTGAGAAATTGAGGGAGGGCCAGGGTAAATAGAGATACCATAGGAGTCTCTAAAATCCTGTGGTTCCCTGTTATTGGGGAATGACCAGAGCCTTGTTCATCCCAGCTGGGGATGAACAGTAAAGGACTTAGCCAGTGTATATGTTTAGATGAAAACGGCTGTGATTCAGCAAAAGTCTGATATTTAGGTACCTTAAGAGACAATTAAAAATCAGTTAGTACTTTCAAGGGTTTGACATGTCCAATTGGCAAGTACTTTGGAAAGTCTGACCCATTTTTCCATAGTTAGCAGAGTACTTGGAATGTTCACTTAAGTACATGCTTAAAATCAAATGTGAAATCCTACTGATTTCAATAAAAATAAGTGTGACCGTATAAACAGAGGTTCAGTTTCTTGGTAGTGACAAGTCAGAAATACTATAATTCTTGTGAAACTTACGTTGTATATAAGAACTCTATGTAATTCTTTGTACCTTTTGGAAGACCAGCTCAAAATGGATACCTCTGAATCTTTCACACACGCTCCCCACCCTGAAAACAGGTGAGTCCAAATGTGTGTGTTTCTAAAGCCAGCGTGACGATATGAGTACTTGGTCATTCCCCAGTAACCAGGAATCACAGCTTAATTTATATATTTATCAGTCCAGAATAATTGCCTTACTAACAGTGAAGCTTCTAAAAGTCCTCTAAATTCGTTCTGTGTGCAGGTAATTTTTCTGAAGAATTTACCTGCTTGGTCACTTTTTAAAAGTTAAAAAAATACCTTACACAACTTAGAATTGATACATAGGTCAAGAAATTCAGTTGCCATAATAATAGGAAAGCACTAACACTGTAATTTGCGTTTGAAAAGCACAGCAAGTACCAAATAAATTGATTTACTGCCAGACAAGTAAATATGATGCTGCTTTCCTGAAAGCCCAAGTATCTTTTTGAGGTAAACTTATAATAATAAAGGTTAAGGGAGACGCTAAAAGATCAAATAAAAGGTCTCAGAAAAATTTTATGTAATTCTAGCAGATACAGTGCTGTGTTGTGGTATAAATCTGACTTTTTAAGCAGCAGCTTTTTTTTTTTTAGTACTGGTCATGTCAAATTAAGGGTGTACGTTAAAACAGTAGGTGGTTGGGTTTTTTTTTAAATAATTCCCTTTTCTTAAAACCAGTTAGTATTTTATTTTCAGAAGGGCAGGAAGTTTCACGCATCTTAAACAGCAATGTGCAGCTTCCAACTTGAGTCTGAGGAGTCAGAAGTGCTGCGTAACTGCATGGGAGCACTGTACGGTGGTCCATGCTGATACATGCTCATGCTTTATGCAGTTGATTTCTTCTTGGGGCTCGGTTTTGCGTATTTGCTAGCTAGTAACCATCGGAAGTAAATGGATTCACAGTGATGGCAATATTTTAACAAGGAAAAGTAGTAAACCAGTTTCCTAAATGCAGCGTTTTAAAAAACACTTGATGCCAGCATGCTTACGTGTTGGATATGAAAGAATGTTGCTTGATACGGAAAACTTTGCAAGTGAACCACTTACTTACAGTCAATAGTGCATAGGAGATGAAGAATGGTGTCTAAACTATTGTGTGCATTATCCCCCAAATGGAGAGTTTTTGTATAATGTGCTGATGTGTATGTTTTAACCAAGTTTAGGAGATTAACAGGAGGAAAAAAGTACTTAGTAATTTAAGAATCCTGTATAGCTGGGGGGAGTTATTTAAGGATTAAATCCATTAGGCAGTAGCGATCAAATATGTAATCTGCGAACCATTTGCTTCAGGTGGACAAAAAGTCTATACTAGATTAATAGTGAACAAACATAACAGCTTGAAACTCTTAAGTACTGTATAGTGAATCATTGGCCTACTTGGTTTAAAGCCTTTTAAACCTACTTAAAGTGGTAGGTAACGTGGTACAAAAGAAAGTTCAAAATAAATCCTAAATTGGACCATTACTGAGCAGTCTGACCAAGAACCTTTCTTTATTCTCTGTCTCTGCTTTCAATTTTTCTTTTTTTTTTTTTTTGGTAATGTGGTCTATGATATATTCATCACTGCATTAATTGTCCTCTGTTTCTCCCAGTCAAACTTTCCACTTTCTGTACACAGAATTGCACACAGTCTGTCAGGTGTATTATGGGGTTTAGCTTTCTTTTGAGCATGAGGCAGAGGACCAGCTATTGCTGAGGGGAGAGGACTGGACACACTTTCCACCTGTCATCATGAGGTGTTTTGCAGCGTGAGAAGGATAGAGGAGGGCTTTACCATGGGCATGTAATAATTTACTCCTAAATCTGTTTCCTCTTAAAACATCTCTAATGCATGACATTTGTTTCAACTAGTAGTTACTTTCTGACATTCAGCAGAATTGTTCCAGTTCTTTTTTTGTGGTTAAGAGAAGTCAGAAGAGCCTCTAAAACGTCAGCTTTTCATATTAATGTTTTTTGGGGGTTTTTTTGGCTGGAAATGGTGTCTTATTTAACATGTGTCTCAGAAATTTCGGTCCCCTAAACATTTCATGTTTTTGAAGTAACGATATAACAATTTTAGCTTCTTTTGGAAATAATTTAGCATTCAAACTGAAATATATATGTTAAATTTCAGCCATAAGCAGATTCTGACTGGCAAAACTCTAAGAGTTGAAGGAAAATAGCTGTATTTTTGTAATGGAAATACCAACTCAACCTTAACAGTTCGTGACATGGATATATTAATGGATTTATAATTCATGAGATTAGAGAAGGTATCTATAGCTACTTTATATTCAGAGTTTAACAAAATTGTTTTATTCTCTCCAATGAACGATCAGTTCAAAATATGCATTCCTTAAATGACAACTTAGGAGTCAAGTTCGTTAAATGAAAATACAGAGTGTATACCTTGGAGATTTATGTTGTTTGCTCTTTTTCTCTTAGGAAGCCTGACAAATAGGAAAATACTACAAAGTGAAGAGAAAATTCACTTCACGAGAACTGAGCTCTGCTTTCATTGGCTTTTAAATTTTATTTGTATTAATAACCGATTAGTGTCAGATCATCTCTGTAGTCTACTGTGGTGAAATTATTAGGTTAAAGCTGGAAAAAATGAAACAATTAAAAAGAAAAAGAAAAAGCAATTTTAGTGTTCAGGAAACTCAAACTCTCCTTAAGGAAATCAGAAAAAGGAGAGAAGTACTCTTTTCAAAGCAACTTAATACAACAATTAATGAGATGAAACGGAAAGCTTGGGAGGAAATAGCGGAGTGTGTAAATGCTGTAGGTGAAGGAGAGCAAAGAACAGGGACAGAAGTGAAAAGGCGATACCTTGACTGGAGAGCACTCATGAAGAGAAAACGTCTGAATGCAAACATCAAAGTAGTAGGTGCTGGGTTTCACCTTCCTTCATCCAATTTAGATGACTCTCTCAATGAAGACATGGATGAGAAAATGGGATTTGCAATTGAATCTAGTTTTGAATGGCAAAATATCACTGACTTCAGAGAAGCTGGTGGATCTTTAACAGAAATCAAAGTAGAAGAGGAAGAGGAGGATCCGCAGAATTTTGAAGTGAGTGACTGACATACGTTAGCTATATGCAATATAGCCTTCGTTTCATTTCAGCATAAGGCTTTTTGCTGTGTTTCTTCATAGCATCTGTTTCTGTTTTTTCTGAATGTGCGAGTTAAAGAAACTGTGGAAACAAGTATGTTTCAGAGAGATGGTATTAAAATTTAGCAACTTGCAATTGTGTGTAAGGTCTTGGATGTTGATTATTAAATTGATATCCCTCAACTTTGAATATGTATTTACACATATATTTTCCATTTGTATGTGTCACAGATAAGAATTAGTTCAGTCAGTAGAATGAAAATACGCTGTTGAAGGAAACGGTTTATTTTAATACTTAGGCTGTCTGGATGAATGAATGGAGAAGAGAAATGCACCTCTTTAACAAATGAAAGTATATGTTACCTGCAGGTACAGAAAGAAATACAGTACAGAAGGAAATAGAATACTGTTTGCATTTCTTAAAATGAACCCACAGGAGATGAAAATATTACTTGAATAAGTCAGTCAGCCATTCGTCTCTGTCAGAATTTTAGTGTGAATTTGACAAGCAGCTGTGGATCCTGTAGACAGGTTGTTACTCCTAGTAGTACTGTGACTGTGCTGGGGTAGGCAGCCAGCTGGAGTGAAGTCGAATGTTTGGATAGTTTTGTTGTGCCTGTGCAGATAGAGAGTTCTCATTTCAAAAAGGGGTGCTCAAACAGTTTTGGTTTGGGGTTTTTTTTGGGGGGGAAAGGAGGAGGAAGCAACTCCTGTCTCAACTCCAGCTCAGATGAGATGTATGCTGGGAAAAAATCAGCATAAGCTATTAAACAGTAGTGAGACTGCTGTCTGACAGCTGCTGAAGAACAGTGTCTATCTGCTCTAATGCCAGAGGACTGGCAGTGGCTCTCATTGTCTTAAGATTTTCTGAACCCGTATCTTCCTCAGTTTGCCTTTCTTTTCCAGCATACTTAGTGGGAGACAATTATCCCTTGTGTACTATGAATTTGTAGCACATAAGGGCTATAATTCTGCATGAATTGTTACAGTCCGCCAAGAGCAATGGTCCTAACCACCTAATCATCTGTGTCATAAATAGCTTTACAGCAAATGTGATAATACAAAATTGGTTAAACAAGTCCTGTTTATTGACCCACATAATACAGTTTGAAGGGTTAGGAGCGTGTGAAAAACGTCAGTGTTAAATGTTTTTTAGAAATGGAATCCTCAAGTTAGTGAAGGCTGGGTTAGCTTACATACCACATAGCCTATGGATCCAGCTGCTCTGATAAATAATTAGTCACAACAAATTCCTAGTGGCTTACATAAATGTCACACAGCTATATGAAACATAAGAACAACGTATGCTTTTTTAGATCCAGTTTTCTATCAGTGGTTCTGAATGCTCTATAATATCTATTGTGCAGTATTTTCTGTATGTTCTTGCATGTCCACTGACAAGCTAATTTTCCGTTTTTCATTACCAGATACTATCTTGCAGATAAAGCGTGTTTCTCTACCTGTGTAATGGTAGAAAACAGCCTTTTGATCTAACGTGGTTATTTCACAGCATGTGAGTTAAACAGTTCTGGGTAGTTTTTAAGATGAAAAAACACAGTGTGTTCTTTTCAGTCAAGTTGTGTGTAACAAATTTATTCTGGCATAAACACTGGAATGTAATTCTTGTCTATTGCATTCCCCTCTGCAGTTTCCTATTGAGGAAGAAGAAGAAATTTTGTCATCAGTTTTGCCAGATTCAAAAAAGGAAAATGACCTTCCAGACTTCCCTCACATTGAAGAATTTGGAAATCTAAGCTCTGCTCAAGCTAGGCTAGCCTATGAAGATTCTCACTTGCTTATAAATCTGGAGAAGCAGAAGGTGGAGCTGGAGAAGCAGCGACTAGATATTGAAGCTGAAAGGTTGCAAGTGGAGAAGGAGCGCCTGCAAATTGAAAAAGAACGTTTGCGGCATGTTGACTTGGAGCGTGAGAGACTTCAGATTGAGAAGGAGCGACTTCAGATTGAATGGGAGAAACTCAGGCTAGAGACTCTGCATGCTGAAAAACCTGCCCTGGAAAATGACCTCACCCAAACAGAAAAACCTATCATGCAGCCTTTGGATCTAGAAACTGAAAAGTTAAAACTTGAAAAAGAACGTTTGCAGTTAGAGAAAGAGAGGCTGCAGTTCCTAAAGTTCGAGTCAGAGAAGCTGCAGATTGAGAAGGAACGCTTGCAAGTGGAGAAGGAGCGCCTTCGAATTCAGAGAGAGGGTCACTTGCAGTGAACTTCTTGACTGAAGTGTCAACATTAGTGTTTTGATGTTTGTAAAATAGAGGTAGTTCTTTTCTTAATACTGAAACTGTCCTAGAGGCTTAACATTTTTCTGTTCAGACTTGAATGTTAATGTTAAACTGAAAAAGGAAAAAAAAAAAAAGGAAAAAAAGAATGGTGCTCAATATGTCAGTATGCCTACATAAATGAGCTTATGTGTGAAATTGTTTTTCAGTGTATCAGAACTAAGTGTTATGTTCTCTTGTCTTCAGTATTGTGTTGTATTAGTTCGGTGTCCTCCTCTCATAGACACACTGAGAAAAATCAAGGCTGAACCTTGTACTTTTTTCACTGTACTAACAGTAAGGAAGGATCAGAATAAATCAACGTATGTTGTGAGGGCATGGTGCTGACGATAGCCCACACAGTAAATAAGTATAAATTAGACAGAACACAATAACGCAGAGTCATGATGCGATTGATTCATTAAACTTAATTTCCCCTTTTTGTTTTTTTCCACCCCAACAATTGGAAAAAGAGTTCAAGAATTATCTAAAAGTTAAAGTACAAGTTAAATTCACTGCAATTGTGTTTACTGTTGTTCCATGGGAGTGCAGAAAATAGTATTCTTCGTTTTGCATGAAGTATTCGTACTAGATAAAGTTACACATCAACGATACCTCCTGTAAGCTGGACTGTTGGTTGCACCAGGTTATTTATAATGGTATAAGGAATATAGCACCTGTCTTAGTATAGCATAGGGACTTACTGATTGATCAGGCATGCTGTCTGATGCGTCTGTGATGACCCCCTGAAGTAAATTGCTAGACCTGGTTTGTTCCTTGGAAGACAGTAGCTGGTGATGGGGAGTCTCGGCAGTGGAGACACAGAAGCTGAGCACAGACTAAGGAGCACTGAGCTTGAACGCTAACGCTCTTCATGTTAGTTCTGCCTGGCCAGCACTGAGGTCATGTCCGTGAGGCAGCCAGAAGAGGCTTCTATCACTGACACCATATAGTATGTTTTAATTAGACAAACAGAAATGGTCAGTGCTGAAGGCTGTCAGTGTTTTTCATAGCAATGTATTAATTTAAAATAATTAAAAAAAAAAAAAACCAAACAAGGAAGCTTTCTGTTATTTCACATATGTTTAAATCCCAACTGAGCCGGACTTCACGTTTCTCATCTTTCTGCAAGTAACTATCTTTTGTTGACTCCATTTGAAACTTAGGACTATGAGAATACTAAATCTGAATATATGTTGAGTGACTTACATGGATTCTTGTGCAAGTAAATATATTTATACCACTACAGGATTACTTTTATTCTGCAAAGAAAATGTTATTTTTTTATTACTGAAATAAGTGTGCTTCTACAGTGGAAATAAATTTGACTACTACAACCCAAAATTGCTCTTGAGATTGTGTTTCTTCACAGAGAAACAGGGCTAGATATGAAGAGAAACCTGGTTTCTCAACACTGCAGCACCCCGAAGTTGATGGTGCCTGTATTCCCTGTGTTGTAAATCGGAGAGATGAGGCATCTCAAAGTAGGACTTAAACCAACCTGTCTTACTTGAGAAAGGAAAAAGGAAGGAGACGCAAACCAGCTGGATAAAAATGCCCCAGGAGGAAGCGTATCTGAGATTCTCCTTCCTGAAAGTGGTGGGTTGACCTTGGCTGGATGCCAGGTGCCCACCAAGCAGCTCTATCACTCCCCTCCTCAGCTGGACAGGGTGAGAAAAATATGACAAAAGGCTTGTGGGTCGAGATAAGGACAGGGAGATCATTCAGCAATTGCCATCACTGGCAAAACAGACTCAACTTGGGGAAATTAATTTATTGCCAGTCAAAATCAGAGTAGGATAATAAGAAATAAAACCAAATCTTAAAACACCTTCCCCCTACCCCTGCCTTTTTCCCGAGCTTAACTTCACTCCTGATTTTCTCTACCTCTTCCCCGCGAGCGGTGCAGGGGGACGGGGAATGGGCGTTGTGGTCAGTTCATCACGTTTTCTCTTCTGCTCCTTCCTCCTCAGGGGGAGGACTCCTCACACTCTTCCCCTGCTCCAGTGTGGGGTCCCTCCCACGGGAGACAGTCCTCCATGAACTCCAACATGAGTCCTTCCTATGGGCTGCAGTTCTTCACAAACTGCTCCAGCGTGGGTCCCCCACTGGGTCACAAGTCCTGCCAGCAAACCTGCTCCAGCGTGAGCTCCTCTCTCCATGGGGCCACAGGTCCTGCCAGGAGCCTGCTCCAGCGTGGGCTTCCCATGGGGTCACAGCCTCCTTCGGGCATCCACCTGCTCCGGCATGGGATCCTCCACGGGCTGCAGGTGGGTATCTGCTCCACTGTTAACCTCCATGGGCTGCAGGGGACAGCCTGCCTCACCATGGTCTTCACCA